CCCACCCTCAACACCTTACTCGCTACAGTCTCCAAATCAATATCAGTACAAGCTGTAACGCCTAGCCTCTCTCCTCCTACCAACGACGACCCTCGCGTGTGTGAGAGACATGGGTAAAGGAAGCCCTAGTCTCACCAAACACGACTCTTGATGAGGAGTCGTCTGCCGGGCTCAACCTGGTGCAACGCATGACTAGGACGCCGACAAGATCAGGGTCAAAAGATCCCCAATCCTTTGAAGAACGCTAAAGAATCGAGAAATGGCATTAAAATCAAATGAAGATGGTCTCTGTTGCACCTTTTGCTTCAAGAATGGGCCTGATCACTGATGTCCTATTGCAGGCTTTACGATCGTGAACAAAGAGGCTATCTCAGTGTCCCATCCATGATCAAATGCATTGGCGAAGTGGTCACCAGCGTGAGTTTGTTTCCGCTCTATCTCCGCCCACTGATTCATTTTCCACGATAACGTCATTATTGACGTCATCACTCAAGTTCCCATGATTAAGGTCCATTCACCGGACTCGCCTTGGCGATTGCTTCTGAACTCGATGGCGCCTAAAGGAGGAGTTCATCGAATACAAGCGATTATTCGCGCTTATCCAAAAGGCAAGGCAACCTGAAATCAGCGAGGAAACGATGTAGGTAATTACGAAGATCAGACGGAACTTAAACTGCGTGTAAAAAATGAATGATGTTTAACGAGCTATTCAGACCCGAGCTCCTCAGTCCATTGCATCTTGATGAAGCGGAATTCTCGTTGACACCAAGCCCAGGGCAGGAAAGTCGCGAGAGATGCCGAGCTCAGGTAGACTGATTGACTTTTTTAATAGTGAATTGGAGTCACAATCGTTATCTCAATATGCTGGGGTAATGAGTAAATAAAAATGCCAGAGACACCATTGAAGGTCGAGAAAATGTCCTAACAGCTTTTATGGCAATTTCCGTACTCCAGATAGAGACGTCGCAACAGTCAGACAATTTTTAGGCTTTTATCCTTACCTCCATCTTCGAAGTTAATGAAAAACATTTCAAGGGATAATTTTCAGGGATAATTCAAGAAAATGTCAATTTTCTAAACAAATGTTGATCCATTTCAGGTTATGACGGAAATCGAAGTGCTTCTTATGAGGAATCCCGAGCTCAGTTTGGATCGATTGAAATCAGCTACAACACAAAAGGTATGCTGTTAAATTATTGAGCATTACTCAGGAATAATAACCATACGAAATCGAATTTTGAACCTTGATACCACTTTCACCGTTGATCTCCTCGTTATGTCCCCGCTGCGACCTATAGAGACGCTAATGTGGCAGTGGTAAGCGGTGCTGATACCACTAAAATGGTTTCCAAATCGGAGAAGGTTCTTTGCCGTCAAGCTTAAGCTAAAGCCATATCCCAAGTGGTGTACAAGAAATAGCAGAGAAACGCCCTGAGACTCTGAAAATGGGACTCCTTTTTTGGCCGTTGAGTTCTGCTCTGGACTCACCAGTGACGAAGAAGGGTTCGTGTGCACGGCAGACGAACGCACGTTCGCACTATTCGAATGAGGGGTTCTCATTTCTGGGATTGAGCAGCATTTTGGGGTTGAGCAAGGCTATCAGGGTGGAAGGCGGAAGTGGTGTAGTGGCAAGTGGCACGCTTACCACGCGAGCGGTCCGGGGATCAAATCCTGGGTCGTGAGTCGCCCGGGCCAACCAAGCCTTCCATCCCTCCGGGGTCGGTTAATTGGTACCAGACTTGTCTGGGGATAAAAACACTGACTTGTACATCGGCTGGCCCCCGCAAGTCATTGTATAGGCCACATCGCATTCAAACGCCACTACGAATGTACAAATGGAAGTAGAATGCGTGCCGCATCCCAAAAAGGGATTGATCAACGGCAAATGCTTTATCCTTTATCCGTAATCGTATAGGGAACGAGGGTTGGTTGGAAGCGTTGGCTGTGTATGCATGTAGCAACTTTTTTTTTGAAATTTGCGGCCCCAGTTCAAAGAAAGTAGCGACCAGAAAGAAAATTAGCAGGATTCATGACATCAGCGCTCGTGTTGGCCCAGCCTCCTAGGACCGATGTGTGTGGTGGAGGGGCCGGACGGGGGGGGGGGGGGAGGATGGTGGCCATATTTTTAAAAGCGTGCAGCCAAGTTTGCATGTGTTAACCATGATGGCCGATATTATTCCAAAAATAACATCTTCGATTGATATATGGGTAAATTAGGGTGCTCAAGCGGAAATGCAGCAGAAGTCGTCCAGCCCTAGTGGAGGTGAACCACGTCACGGTAGTGCTTTTGCCAAGGTTATTTTACTAGGTCGCGAAGGGCGTTCATTTCTCGGCAGAGGCCCCTTCGGCCCTTCGGGGAGCGTGGCACTCTTTGGGGTAGGCACTACCCCTCTTCTGCCACACCCAGTTTATCGTAACGTGAGCCTTTAATATTGTGAGCCTGGAAGGTTTAAGGACGCCGATTACTGCAACTACTCGGTGTGATAGTCGTTAATGTCTTGGGCGCTTTTTTTTTTTTTTTTTTTTTTTTTTTTTTTTTTTTTTTTTTTTTTTTTTTTTTTTTTTTTTTTTTTTTTTTTTTTTTTTTTTTTTTTTTTTTTTTTTTTTTTTTTTTTTTTTTTTTTTTTTTTTTTTTTTTTTTTTTTTTTTTTTTTTTTTTTTTTTTTTTTTTTTTTTTTTTTTTTTTTTTTTTTTTTTTTTTTTTTTTTTTTTTTTTTTTTTTTCTTTTTTTTTTTTTTTTGAAGAAGTCAAACACATGGCGCATCTGAAAAAGTCTCCATAATGCCAAGCGTCGTATTCTTTTGCCATCCTTTATGAGTGGCCCACAAATGCGACCATGTGGGCAGGTTTTGTTCCTATTGCAGCATAGATAAGTGTATTTCATGCCCCCAAACATGTGCGCTACCGCTATAATGTGCCTATTATAACCTTTCTTTAGGTAATCGAGTTGTCCGAGTTCAAGATGCTTCTTGAGATGTACGGCCTTGAGGAGCCTTTTCGCCCGTTCTATAAACGGCTCGTATCCTGCTTTCTCACTCACGACAACAAAATTCAGTGAGTTCAGAGCTTTTTATGAGAAACTCACTCTCGTACTTGCTCAGCTTTTTCTACAGCTTTTCCGCCTTTCTCGGCTGCTTGTCCCTTGTTCGCCCTCCAATACGGCGACCTACTCCGGCAGCGCCTTCTGCGCCATGGAACAAAGCTCCTTTAGGTGTGAGTTACCGACGTTGAGAGATACTAGGAAAAGAAGAGTTGTTCAAGCCTGTTATTTTCAGCCGATTACAACGAAGCGTAATAAGTAGCTCAAGCGATTGGTAATTACTTCGACTGCTGGCTCGGCTAGACAAGAAATAAACGAGACTTTATGTACCTGCACAGCACTTATGGATTCTTACTCGCTCATGGAGGAGCTGCCCAGGAATAACCAGCTCAATATTACAGAATATAACTGCTTGCCTGCTCGTTGGAGGAGTGCCTCATGTGGATGTTCTCTACGGGTTTTTTACGCATACACATACGATTCAATACAAAACGAGTTTGTAAATGTTTCTCTTTATTTCTGTACTTCAAAGTTTATAGTGAGAATATTTTGATTAATAAAATTTTACTATTTGAGTCTATTTGTTTTGAGCTATTTAAGTTTCTGTGCGGAAAAAAGGGTTTCCGCCCCGTTCCGCGGCAAATTGCAGCCGCCTCGAGGACTCACAGCTGTTTTACACATTGCGCTTCATGAAGAAGTGCACTCACATTTTCCAGCGGATCCTTCCTGGCCCGCAAAGAATGTCGCTGTCTCTTTGACCTTTTTTACTTCTCATTCTTAGTCATCTTCGTTATACACAGCATTTCTTTCTGCAATCTTTTCACTCCTCTTCAACGATTGAGACTACCTTTGGCAGCTGCAACGTTTTTTGGCGCTATCGCAATATACGGGCACAACTTGCGGGATTAAGCCTAGAATGAGGCAGAAACTCCGAGGAAAATAAAAATGACTCATGTACCCTTGCGTCTCTCCTCCCTCGCCTATGGCTTAACCCGGTCTTCAACGAAAAGGACATCTTTGACGCAGTTTCAAATGCATCACTATCACAATGCCCCCGTATACTGCGATAGCGCCTTTTTTACACTTGCAGATTGAGTGAGGCTCACCTTGACATAATGATGAAAGTATTTCTGCTTTATGCAGTATGCTTCCATCTCCTATATTTGTGATCTTATTCAAACGAGTCTTGTGATTCCGATATTGACTGAAGTGCATAAGCCGGACTAGTTTAATTTTCCCTCATTTACTCGTCCCCCACACTCGGACCTCTTCCCTTTTACACCATTCGAATCCGAATTTGAACCGCTTGGCTGGAAGGCATACTTGAAGTTTCATCAGGTCTCTCTTTCTCTTTCTCGCCCCTCGCTTTTTTCGTCAGTGTGATTGCATTTAGTCCAACTGCCTTCATTTCATTCATTGTGTTAATACGAAGGAAGCCATTGTAGAATTTTAGATTATTACAGAATTCATCTCAAGACTTTTTCTCCTTATCTTTTTCCTCTTTACCTTTATTTTTATTCGCCTTACATCACTGTTGCATGTTTTTTCACGCGTCAGGTTACTCGATTTATGGCCGGGGCCCAGGTATTTTACTGAGCGTAACAAATTAAGTAGATTTAATCAATTAATTAATAGATAAATCAAATCGGCGCCTATTCAATCTTTCACCCTAGGAAAGTACTGGTGTGCCATACGTGTGGGAGACTCCGAATAAAAGTTGCATCCAGTTCCCTTGGTTACCTGAATATCTGCAGGGACAGATAGTCTCCTTATTAAAGCTTTGGAGAGTATTTGCTGCGAAAAAGTCTCAAAATCTTAGACACTCGCAATTTGAGACATTAATTCGCTCCTAATTTGACAGCTGCACAAGCTCCGCCCTTCCGCCGCAACCCCGCCTCCTAGCCGCGTGATAAGTGTCCAAATCTGTTTCGTATTGTGCGTTTATCGTGAAAGTGAAAAGGATAAGAAGTTGGCCTTTGGGTTTATGACAACAAAAGGATCCAGTTTCACACATTCGCCTTGTTTACAACGTCTCAGATCAGTTTCTCGAATTCCAGAAAGCTTTTCTTCATGATTCATCTTTTATTTATCACTGCAATGGCTATCTACAGTGCACCTGTACTTTGAATGTGACTTAAGTTTCTTGAATTCATGGCACTGCAAACCTGCTGAGGGAGTTTTGCCGAATCCTCAACAAATTCTGATCCTAGTCCGTTCAACAAGAGGAGCGAAAAAAATTGTTAAGAGAGGATGATGTTAAAGGAAGTAGTCTCGATGAATCTCTTGGGGACTGCTGTTTTAAAACCGCAGTTCGCCTTGCGAAAGTTTCATGAGAGCGCTGAGTTATGGGCAAAACCTCGGCCCCCGGGCGGGACGAACCCGTACCAGTTGGTGACGGGCACCTGTGCTACCCTTACACTACCAGGGCATAATTTCAACCTAACCATAAGCTTGATAGTTATGTTAAGCATACCATCAAAAGCTGAACCAGGTTTTGTCCTAAACTCAGCATTCTTGTAAAACCTGACCAATGAATCTTTGGGCTCAGCCCCATTACATGAGAAAATCGTTCATTGTGCTTCCCCTGTCCTGACCAAAAACATCTTGGGT